AATGTAAAGTTTTCAGCTGTAAGGACTCACATCAAAAGTCATAAAATAAAATCAAGGCACAAACCTGCATGTTGACCAGAGAGTTCATAAACTATTAACCGCATTTATTGTAAACCAAACTCTTAGGTTATTAAAAGGAGCATATGGTTAAATTATCATAAAGGCATTCCATAATTTTATGAGGAAAATCATAATTTTAAAATTTCTTAGGATCTACCTTGACCTATGTTTTAAAATGTTTTTAAGAAAAGATAATTCAAATTCGATAATAAGCAGGCAGATATTATTTCCTCTATAAATGAACTATTATGCATAAAATACTACAATTAATAGAGAATTAACCTATCTAAAAAGAACCACATATGGAAGAATGCTTGGGGAATTTGAACGCACTTATGGTTGCCTAGAACACCCAGGGGAAGGTTTCACAACCCATAGAAACTTCCTTCTTCGTCACTGGCAGAGACAAACACTGTGTATTCTTTTAAAATGTTGAACTACTAGTAATAATCATCATAATTTTGGCGCTTTTACTAGTGATACTTGCCCTAATGTCCTTCTAGTTTTTCTTCTTTGTGCTGTGGGCTGGCATTTTCTCTACAGAGAATGAAGACCGTTTATTTTACAAAGAGCCATTGCTCTTCCCGTGCCCCCTGGAGTCACAGCTAATAACTTCAGTTGTGCTTACGTAGTGCTGGAATCTCACAGCATTTCGTCATGTCGCTAAACTGCAGGCTTTATGGGGACTATCAGAATGCAGAGTTCACTTAATCATGGGCCAATGTGTTGATTCATAAAAGGTTTGGAGTAACACATGTTTAGTGACAATCTTCTCCCTTTTCTGACATCACCAGAGAAGATCAAAGAGAAGGAAAAGAATCCAGAAGAAACGTATTCTACAGGTGGCAACACCTGAACGCAGGGGTGAGTGACAGAGCCTTTGTGCCTGTGTTTGTAATGTCAATCTTTGACGAAACAAAATTTCATGAATAAAGACAAAGTGGCTGAGTGCCTATTGTACTTATATTAAAAGAAGGGGACTCTGGTATTCAGGAGAGAGAACACTTAACAAATGTAATCAACACTCAGTAAACACCTCTTCGACTTGACCCTTTTCCGTTGTCATGCGTTGTCTTTTTAATTTGTCCAGGAAATGCGTGTCTGCAATCAAGCATTTGGAAAAAAGAAGGACGAAAAATAGAAGTTTGATTCCAGAAAAGGGTTAGTGGAAATTCTACAGTTCACGTCCTGATTTAACAAAGACTCGCTAATATGTGATGTTTTCCGCCCCGCGCGGGCATGGAGGCTTCTGTTCAAGTGAAGTGGAAATTTATTTGTAACTGGGAAGTCGCTTTGATGACTGCGAACAGACAACTAAGAAAACTTAACGACAGGGAGAGACATTTTGCGTGTAAAGGAACGAACAGTGAACACTCGGAGGAGACACACGTGCTCCCGGACCCTGCGGTCTGTTCCTCAACGCTGCCCACGCGCGGGGCGGAGGCTGCAGCGGGCGCAAACCCGCGACATCCAGCGCAGGTACAAGTGTCGGTGCGCCTGGCCCAGAAGCGAGAGCTGGGGGGCTGCGGCAGACCAGACCACGTTGCTCGGTCGTTCTAGTATTTTCTTAGAGGGTTTCCCCACCCCCAACACAAAACAAAACGGCAAAATCCTTCCCCGCGCCCCCCGGTAAGGTAAGCGTCACCGGGAGCACTTTCTCGTTCCTCTAGTTTAGGGACTCTGATCTAGTGAGTGCCAGGACCGGCCACGGCACGCGCGGCGCTCGGAGCCCAGCCCGTATTCGGAGCAGAGCCGCGGCGTCAGGGCGCCCCACCTGTGACCACCCACCTCCATGTAAACACAAATGCATCCTCTCCCACCGTGGGGTATCTGGGCGGGCGCGGGGGAAACATGGGGCAGGGAGCAACGTGCCACACGCTTCGAAATAAAAACACCTGAGAACTGGACGGAGAGAAGAAAACGTGGAGGGCGAGAACCCACCCCAGGGGCGGGCGCGCGTCAGGGACCCCGAGCCCTGTGTCATCCGGATCGCGGACCCGCTGCATGCGCCTGGTCCTCAGGTGACCGCCTCGCCCTTGGAGGAAGCTGGGCTTTGGCGCGCGCGCTCCACTGCTGGGAAGGTGACCTAGTTCAGGGAGTCTGGACAGCCTGTGCCACCGTGGGAGAGACCTCTGGCCCGCCGCCCCCACTCTAACGCCGGATGTGGAGGGGGTGGCCTCGCTATGCGCGTCGGCGGCGACGCTGACACCTGAGCGCCTGTGCGCTCTAGCGTTCCAACTTCCCAAACTTTGGCGGCTCCAGTTGGGAGCGTCCTCTGGGCCGCGCATGTCCGTTCACTGGCAACAGCCTGGATTCGGGGCTGGGAAAGCGGGGGGCGGGGTGGGCCGAGAAAGCCACGGGTGATGAGGCTCTGTTCGGGACTTTGGGGCGACGATCTCAGTTGTTCTTGTCTAAGTCTGACCTCAAGGGGCAAACAGGGCTGTGCGCACGAAGCTCGTGTGGTGGCGGGTGTCCGACAGGGAGTGCCGGGCGGGACCGGCCGTCTACGCCTTAGTTTATGGGGAACACTGTGCTGATCTGAACCCCAACCAAGTGTCCGAGTTTGTGAAGTCCCCTAGGGAAGCTCAGCACAGCTCGGCTGGAGCTGCCGGCCCGCCGTCAGGAGGGTTCCCTGGCTCGGTCAAGGGACAGGCCGACGAGGCCGGGCCAGCAGCGAACAGCTGGAGCAGCTGCACGG